TAGAATAGAATAGAATAGAATAGAATAGAATAGAATAGAATATTTAGTTTACTTTATTGTCATTGCCCCTCGTACAACGAAATTAATACCATCTTCAGTGTACATTATGACTATGAAAATAAACACAAACACACATCCTTCACATTCTATACATTGAATTAAAAAACCCCTAATATAGCATTAATATTGCACAAAATAGAGAATGGTACAGAATAGAAAATAAAATAGAGAAGCGAAAAAAGAGAAGAGAGAACAAAATATAGAAGAGAAGAGATTATCTCCACTTTGGTAATATTCCAGGAATTCAAAGTCACTTCGCCTGAGCGTTCTTCCCTTAGGTGCAAAGCTGACTTCTGAAAAAGATCATGCCCTAGAAAAATGAAGGGCCCCCTGCTTGGCACATCATGCTCTTAAAGACTCCTCTGTGGTTCGAAAGGCCAGGGAGAAATTGCAGAGAAGCTGCACGGATCCATCCATCCGAATGCATGGCTTCTTAAAAACAGGAAGGAAGTGATTTGTGCAAGAAAAACCAGAGAAGAAAATTCTCTCTTAATGTCTCCAATGGAAAGCAGCTCAAGAGAAGTTCGAAAGTTATTATTTTTCTCACGCTTCCTCTTTCCTGGATTTCAGAAAATCTTATTTTAAGGGCCCCCATCTTCGTCCTTTCGCTGATTCGCTGTCCCCTCCTTCCCTATTCTTCAGGCACAGCAACTTAAAGAGAGGAAACGGTTGCAGCTTTCGATAAAATCTCCTGTCAATCAAACTCAGCTCAGAGCCACTTGTCAGGTGAAGAAGGGGGGGGGCATTTGCACCAAGAACCCCTAAATTTGTACCCTCCAGCTGCAATTACTGGCAGGATTCTCAAGACAGAAGGGTGGTTTGTAAGGTAGGAAATTCTAGCGCGATCCTTTCCGTCATGTAGGGAAGGTTATCAGGTTGAATAGATCAGCGTCACAGAGCTGCCACTCAGAATACAGAATGAAGGTAGTCCTCGTCTTACAACTGATCGTTTAGTGACCGAAGTTACAACAGTGCTGAAAAAAGGGACTTGTGGCCATTTTCCACCCTTACGAACATTGCAGCATCTCTATCCGATCAAAATTCAGATTCTTGGCCACCAGACAGTGGCAAGAAAAGTCGTATACTTGGGCAGCTGCAGAACTCGCTTTTAACCAATGTTTCACTAAGCAACAGAAATTTTGGCTTCTATTGTAGTGTATAAGTCAAGGAATAACATGTACAGGAATCATAGCTGTACAGATTAACAGAGTTGGAAGGGACTTCGAAGGTCTTCTAGTCCAGCCCCCTGCAATCAACCATGGCAAAAAAAAAATGTCATACATAACCATAACATATTATTTATTCATGATTTATGCATTACATTCATTTGTCCCCCCCCCCCTCTCCCATCTTGCCACAGGCAAGATTTGCACTGAGGCAGCAAAAAAAAAATTTGGTTGATTACCAGCCTTTGAAACTCCTTGCCACAAGAAGGAAGCCCCAATGAGCTGAAAAAAATAAGTTTCAGAAGGGGGTTGAAAGGGGGGTTTGATTGGTTGGTTGTGAGAGTAAAAAGGATCCAGTAGATTCCAGCAACTCATGGGCACTCCCACCCCAGCCTTGTCGTTTTTACGTGGGGTTTTCACATATCTTTCAGGAAACGGGACTTTCCTTGGTCGCTCGTGTGCGCCTTTGCGAGCCGGGTTGTGACTTTGGCGTTCGTGGCTTGTAGGTGGGAAGGGAAACATCACAATATCACAAGAGGCAAGTTGAAGTTTGATCCTCCTCGCCCGGCGGCTGTCCTAAAAGAAATGCACACGTGTGTGATTCAGAATAACGGTGTTGGAAGGGACCTTGGAGGTCTTCTAGACCAACCCCATGCTCAGGCTATATATAAGATAGATAGATAGATAGATAGATAGATAGATAGATAGATAGATAGA